TCTTTGTCCTCAGGTGCCAGTCTCAGTCACCCACTCACTGGTCTTGCTGCCCTGTTTCCCTAGTATTGGGGTCCCTGTCCCTTTAAGGCTTCCAAAGAGCACTCGCCAAAAAAAAAGGGAAAAACGCGTGATTTTCTTTGTCCTCAGGTGCCAGTCTCAGTCACCCACTCACTGGTCTTGCTGCCCTGTTTCCCTAGTATTGGGGTCCCTGTCCCTTTAAGGCTTCCAAAAAGCACCTGCCAAAAAAAAAAAAAAATCGCTCCCATTTCTTTGTTCTCCGGCGTCAGCCTCAGGCACCCACTCACTGGTCCTGCTGCCCTATTTCCCTAGTATCCAGGACCCCATGCATGCACTGTGTCTGCGCTCTGGTCTGGAATCCTGGGGCTGGGTGTTCAGCAGTCCTGGGCTCTCTTTCCCTCCCTGCTGACTCCTCTCCACCCCCCAGGGGCCGGGGGAGGGGTGCTCAGGTCCCGCAGGGCCGGGGCTTATATCTTACCCTCTTCGCAAGGTGCTGGGTTTTCGCAGGTGTGGATGTGGTCTGGATGTTGTCCTGTGTCCTCTGGTCTCTATTTTAGGAAGGGTTGTCTTTGTTATATTTTCATAGATATATGTGGTTTTGGGAGGAGATTTCCGCTGCTCTACTCATGCCGCCATCCTGGCTCCACCCCAGAAATGATATTTTTAAGCTGCATTTCTGGTTATGTCTCTCTCCTATTTAAAACCCACTCCTCAGCATCAAGACCAAAGCCCTGCCATGGTCACAGTGCTCCTCCAGCTTTATCTTGCTCTTCTGGCCCCTTCACAACCATGTCATAACCCCGTTTTGTACCTGGCACCTGTCTGGTTACCTGTTGGTGTGAGTGCATCATGGCCGTACCCACACCTGACTGTTAGCTTCCCGAGGCAGGAGCCACATCCGTATGGTTCACTGTTGTGCCCCAGGAACCCCCATAGTGCTTGCACATAATTATGAAAACTACCTTTAAGTAATATTTTTTTATTAAGGCATCATTAATTTACAATCTTATGCTCAGGTTTCACATGAGCAACATTGTGGTTACTAGATTCCCCCCTATTATCAAATCTCCACCCCACTACCCATTACAGTCACTGTCCATCAGTGTAGTAAGATGCTATAGAGTCGCTACTTGTCTTCTCTGTGCTATACTGCCTTCCCCATGCCCCCACCTCCCCATATTATGTGTTGATTAAGCTTCTCTGCCATGTGAGGCTGGGATGAGAACGGCTGTCACCACCGAGTCTCTTCTCATGGCAGATACAATTCAGTGGGGGAAACAGACACCCAGCTCTCTACACAGAGTCCACTAAATGCCGTGGTGGGGAAGAGTGGGGTTCTGGATGGTGTGTAGGAGGGTACAGCCCTAAAGGCAGGGTATCCAGAAAGACATCCTCGAAAATGTGGTGTTGACACTAAGGTATGATGGGAAAGGCATAGATGAGAATTAAGTGGGCCCAGAGCAAAAGAATATTTTGCATGCCCTGTTGAAGAGACAGATTTCAACCTAAGGACTTTAAGCAGCACATAAGTGACATGTTAGATCTGTCACTCAAGAATCTCACCCTGGCTGCTGTGAATACAAAGCACTGGAGTCAGAGTGAAGATGAGCCCGAACCCAGCCAGCCCATCAGAGGGGCGGGGCCTTGGCTGACGGAACCGGGACCGAGGAGATGCAGGGGCTGACGTGGTGTCCAGTGGATGGCATGCCCGGATGCAGCCTGGCAGCACGTGAGACCCAGGGAGCCAGGGCGAAATCCACTTTCTAGCTGGGGCCACAGGAAGGGTGAGAAGGGGTGCCATGCATCAGGGAAGGGGAGCCCAGGGACAGTGGGTCTGACACGGTGTGAGCTGGGCAAGCAAAGGCTGCCGTGCCTGCCGGACTCCTCCCTGGGCACACTGGCCATGCCATGGCCGGTGTGATGCCACCCCTGCCCTCCAGAGTGTTCCCTGTGCCCTCAGAGGCTCCCCGGGAGAGGCAGAGGTGCCCAGGTCCTCTCTTTCCAGCAGCCATTTCTTTTTCTGGGCTTGTAGCCATTTGCCCACCATGCTCACATTCACACTCATGCCACTCTTCTCCGAAGCCTGTTTCACATGATCCCCAGCCGGGGGCCAGTGAGAGTCAGTGGGGGCCCTCCCTGTGTGGGCACGGGCAGGCCCCCAGCAGAACAGCAGGCTGGACCTCATCACCTCTGCTTTCTCCACCCATCACCCAGACGTACCCCACAGACTAGACCGAGGGGATCAGATCAAATATATGGGAACAACTATAGAAAGTCCAGTTATTTCCCTCAGAAATTAAATAAGGCAGTAAATTCAACTTAAAGATGCATCTCCCTGAGAATGCCTTGAGAACTAGGTTGAAAATTTGGATAAATTACACCAGAAATGGTTTCCTGCTGTGTGATATACAAAGAAGGTTAAATTTGGTATCACATAAATCCGAATTTATCCAAATCTAAATATTAAAGTATTTCAGGTGGACAGTGATTTGTATTCCTCTGCTAAAACCAGACAGTGCCAAAGATTTTCTTTTGATGCTGTTCACTTGTTCACATATAATGTTATCTCTGTGCACCAACCTCTCCACTTCGGACTTCGTGCATTTCCCCATATGAGGAACACATCCCACTTCATAGATGAGGGAGGCACAGCCCCAATCCTCTGGGGTCAAGAGGACGTTCGCTTACAGCAGCAGAGCCAGATATGGGCCCAAGCCTAGGAGTTCAGTACATGATAGGTCTGTTTGTTTTTAATACAGTGTCAGGAATGAACCGAGAGGTAGGAGACTGAATCTTGGGAGCTGGTGGCAGGAAAGCATATGGGGAGCACACGTTTATGAGGACCTGAGACATACATGTGTATTTCACTGGGAAAGACCATGTATTTATTTTCAAATGCAGAAGTATAATGAAAAGGGAATCTTAAACTTGGTGAAGCCATAGAAAAACTAGAACTCTCATACACTCTTGACAGCAATGTAAAATACCACAAATACTTTAGAAAACACTTCAGATGTTTCCCCAAAAATGACTTACCTACCATATATCCTAGGCACCTTGTTTCTAAGTATTTACCAAGAGGAATGGAAGCATTTGTCTATTCAAAAATATGTGTGTGAGTTCATAGCAACTTTATTCATAATAGCCAAAAACTGGGACAACACAAATGTCCAACAAATTGTGATATATCCACATGACAAAATATTATTCAACAACAAAAAGGAACAAGCATGGGTGCAGCAACATGATTTTCTCAAAGAATCTAGCGGAAAAATGCATCCTGTATGATCCCAGCCATGTAGAATTCTAGAAGGATAATGCAGTGAATGTGTGTGGCTGCGTGGGATGAGGAGTGGGTTCAGAGGAGCACGAGGAAACTTACGGGGTGATGGATGTGTTCATTGTCTTGATAGTGGTGTTGGTTTCTGAGATATGATAACAGAACCTCAAGGTGAGCAAGGAAGAAATGGCAATGGACTCCTTGACGACCCTAGTGGAAGAGGCTGTGACTCGAGCCACATGAGTCAATCAGTGAGGTGGCCAGGACGGGTTTGTTCTTGGCTGGGTGAGGTGGCCTGTGACTCGGCTCTGCTGCCGCATCACATGGCTACCCTTCCTTTCCGCTGCCCATCTTCCTGCCTGCCTTAACCTTCCCTGTTTTCCTTATTCCAATACTTCCACTACTAAAAATATATAAATAAATGAAAAGACTTTAAATACCCAAATGAAGTCTTGATATCTTTTCTAACACAAGAATTTAAGTGTTGTTTTTCTCTCCTTTTTTTTTAAGGGGTCCGTGTGTACGTTAAAGCCAGAGAGACTTGTTATTAATCATGAGTGCTATATACTTCAAGGTTGCTAAGAAACTAGATCTTAAATGTTCTCACCACAGAAAAGAAATAGTAATTATTGCACATGATGTGCTAGCTAATAGTATGGTGGTCATCATAGTGCAAAGTAGAAATGTATCAAGTTGACAGGTTTTCACCTTAAACTTATGTGATGTTCTACGTCAATTATATCTCAATATAAAAAAAGCCAGGTAGGCTTGGATTTGAAAGCCAGTTTTGCCATTGGCTGACCTTGGACCTGTGCAACTGTAGGTCAGCTTCCCTGATCCTCCGTTTCCCCACATGCTGTATGGAGGTAATAGCTGTATTTCAAGGGTCATTGTGAAGATTAGAAATAACTGTCTACTGTTGTGTTCAATCACTTGCTTGCTGCTACACATTGTACATGACCTTTGAGATCAGGCACTATGTGCATTTCCTTAGGACAGCCTCTGCAACGGTCGGACACACACCAAAGCCTGTGAGGTGTCATGGTGAAACAGAACCCAGGTTACACGTGAAGTAAGGAATCTGCCCTCCCATGCAATTGGGCTGACGTGTTCACTCTGCTTTAATTGTACATAGTGCACCTGGTGGACATCTGGAACGTCATAGAAGCATTGCGGGAAAATGCTCTCAACAACCTGGACCCAAATATGGAACTCAGTGTGGCCCGATTGGAGGCTGTGCTCTCAACCATTTTTTACCAGCTCAACAAACGGATGCCAACCACTCACCAGATCCAGGTGGAGCAGTCTGTCAGCCTCCTGCTTAACTTCCTGCTGGCCGCCCTGGACCCGTAAGCTCCCTGTGCATGTGTGTCACTCTCTGCATATTTGGTCTCTCCTTCCTCTGGTCCTTCTTGGTCTTTACTCCAAATAATTTTCTAGGGAAATCACCTCCTCTCTTTTCTTGATCAGATTATTATCTCAACAAAGTCCCTATGTGTTTAACATAGATTTTAAATGCTGTGGAAAAGACTAGAAAGTGAAATAGTGCCGTAGGAAATCAAAGACAGTTGCAGTCTATGTGCTGACCATTATGTAACTTATCCGAGCAGCTGTGGACGCTTGCGAGTGTTGTGTGATGGCATCCCCATGGGGTGACTCAGTGACACATGAAGGGGGAGGATGTTTTTAACTCTCTTCTTTGCAAAGTGTCTAAGATAGTGTCATAACAAAACCATAGCATAAACAGGGAGGAACTGAGATGTGTTTCTGGACCAGCCCAGTGAACATAGCCATGGCTTGTATTGAATGGAAAAACATGATTCCATCCACATACCAGGACTGCAACTCAGGCTCATTATCACTCAGTTTCCCCTCGTAGAATCAGAGAGTTTGAGATCACCTGAGCTCTTGGGCTGTCCTTCCCAGTCTCCCATTTTACAGAAGAGGGCCTGAAGTGCAAAGAGGTTCTCCCTTGTCCTGCTCCTCTCAGTGTGTTAGCACAGAGTAGGGACTTAGGTATTCAGCTAAGGACTGGCCATGCCATGGCCGGTGTGATGCCACCCCTGCCCTCCAGAGTGTTCCCTGTGCCCTCAGAGGCTCCCCGGGAGAGGCAGAGGTGCCCAGGTCCACTCTTTCCAGCAGCCATTTCTTTTTCTGGGCTTGTAGCCATTTGCCCACCATGCTCACATTCACACTCATGCCACTCTTCTCCGAAGCCTGTTTCACATGATCCCCAGCCGGGGGCCAGTGAGAGTCAGTGGGGGCCCTCCCTGTGTGGGCACGGGCAGGCCCCCAGCAGAACAGCAGGCTGGACCTCATCACCTCTGCTTTCTCCACCCATCACCCAGACGTACCCCACAGACTAGACCGAGGGGATCAGATCAAATATATGGGAACAACTATAGAAAGTCCAGTTATTTCCCTCAGAAATTAAATAAGGCAGTAAATTCAACTTAAAGATGCATCTCCCTGAGAATGCCTTGAGAACTAGGTTGAAAATTTGGATAAATTACACCAGAAATGGTTTCCTGCTGTGTGATATACAAAGAAGGTTAAATTTGGTATCACATAAATCCGAATTTATCCAAATCTAAATATTAAAGTATTTCAGGTGGACAGTGATTTGTATTCCTCTGCTAAAACCAGACAGTGCCAAAGATTTTCTTTTGATGCTGTTCACTTGTTCACATATAATGTTATCTCTGTGCACCAACCTCTCCACTTCGGACTTCGTGCATTTCCCCATATGAGGAACACATCCCACTTCATAGATGAGGGAGGCACAGCCCCAATCCTCTGGGGTCAAGAGGACGTTCGCTTACAGCAGCAGAGCCAGATATGGGCCCAAGCCTAGGAGTTCAGTACATGATAGGTCTGTTTGTTTTTAATACAGTGTCAGGAATGAACCGAGAGGTAGGAGACTGAATCTTGGGAGCTGGTGGCAGGAAAGCATATGGGGAGCACACGTTTATGAGGACCTGAGACATACATGTGTATTTCACTGGGAAAGACCATGTATTTATTTTCAAATGCAGAAGTATAATGAAAAGGGAATCTTAAACTTGGTGAAGCCATAGAAAAACTAGAACTCTCATACACTCTTGACAGCAATGTAAAATACCACAAATACTTTAGAAAACACTTCAGATGTTTCCCCAAAAATGACTTACCTACCATATATCCTAGGCACCTTGTTTCTAAGTATTTACCAAGAGGAATGGAAGCATTTGTCTATTCAAAAATATGTGCGTGAGTTCATAGCAACTTTATTCATAATAGCCAAAAACTGGGACAACACAAATGTCCAACAAATTGTGATATATCCACATGACAAAATATTATTCAACAACAAAAAGGAACAAGCATGGGTGCAGCAACATGATTTTCTCAAAGAATCTAGTGGAAAAATGCATCCTGTATGATCCCAGCCATGTAGAATTCTAGAAAGATAATGCAGTGAATGTGTGTGGCTGCGTGGGATGAGGAGTGGGTTCAGAGGAGCACGAGGAAACTTACGGGGTGATGGATGTGTTCATTGTCTTGATAGTGGTGTTGGTTTCTGAGATATGATAACAGAACCTCAAGGTGAGCAAGGAAGAAATGGCAATGGACTCCTTGACGACCCTAGTGGAAGAGGCTGTGACTCGAGCCACATGAGTCAATCAGTGAGGTGGCCAGGACGGGTTTGTTCTTGGCTGGGTGAGGTGGCCTGTGACTCGGCTCTGCTGCCGCATCACATGGCTACCCTTCCTTTCCGCTGCCCATCTTCCTGCCTGCCTTAACCTTCCCTGTTTTCCTTATTCCAATACTTCCACTACTAAAAATATATAAATAAATGAAAAGACTTTAAATACCCAAATGAAGTCTTGATATCTTTTCTAACACAAGAATTTAAGTGTTGTTTTTCTCTCCTTTTTTTTTAAGGGGTCCGTGTGTACGTTAAAGCCAGAGAGACTTGTTATTAATCATGAGTGCTATATACTTCAAGGTTGCTAAGAAACTAGATCTTAAATGTTCTCACCACAGAAAAGAAATAGTAATTATTGCACATGATGTGCTAGCTAATAGTATGGTGGTCATCATAGTGCAAAGTAGAAATGTATCAAGTTGACAGGTTTTCACCTTAAACTTATGTGATGTTCTACGTCAATTATATCTCAATATAAAAAAAGCCAGGTAGGCTTGGATTTGAAAGCCAGTTTTGCCATTGGCTGACCTTGGACCTGTGCAACTGTAGGTCAGCTTCCCTGATCCTCCGTTTCCCCACATGCTGTATGGAGGTAATAGCTGTATTTCAAGGGTCATTGTGAAGATTAGAAATAACTGTCTACTGTTGTGTTCAATCACTTGCTTGCTGCTACACATTGTACATGACCTTTGAGATCAGGCACTATGTGCATTTCCTTAGGACAGCCTCTGCAACGGTCGGACACACACCAAAGCCTGTGAGGTGTCATGGTGAAACAGAACCCAGGTTACACGTGAAGTAAGGAATCTGCCCTCCCATGCAATTGGGCTGACGTGTTCACTCTGCTTTAATTGTACATAGTGCACCTGGTGGACATCTGGAACGTCATAGAAGCATTGCGGGAAAATGCTCTCAACAACCTGGACCCAAATATGGAACTCAGTGTGGCCCGATTGGAGGCTGTGCTCTCAACCATTTTTTACCAGCTCAACAAACGGATGCCAACCACTCACCAGATCCAGGTGGAGCAGTCTGTCAGCCTCCTGCTTAACTTCCTGCTGGCCGCCCTGGACCCGTAAGCTCCCTGTGCATGTGTGTCACTCTCTGCATATTTGGTCTCTCCTTCCTCTGGTCCTTCTTGGTCTTTACTCCAAATAATTTTCTAGGGAAATCACCTCCTCTCTTTTCTTGATCAGATTATTATCTCAACAAAGTCCCTATGTGTTTAACATAGATTTTAAATGCTGTGGAAAAGACTAGAAAGTGAAATAGTGCCGTAGGAAATCAAAGACAGTTGCAGTCTATGTGCTGACCATTATGTAACTTATCCGAGCAGCTGTGGACGCTTGCGAGTGTTGTGTGATGGCATCCCCATGGGGTGACTCAGTGACACATGAAGGGGGAGGATGTTTTTAACTCTCTTCTTTGCAAAGTGTCTAAGATAGTGTCATAACAAAACCATAGCATAAACAGGGAGGAACTGAGATGTGTTTCTGGACCAGCCCAGTGAACATAGCCATGGCTTGTATTGAATGGAAAAACATGATTCCATCCACATACCAGGACTGCAACTCAGGCTCATTATCACTCAGTTTCCCCTCGTAGAATCAGAGAGTTTGAGATCACCTGAGCTCTTGGGCTGTCCTTCCCAGTCTCCCATTTTACAGAAGAGGGCCTGAAGTGCAAAGAGGTTCTCCCTTGTCCTGCTCCTCTCAGTGTGTTAGCACAGAGTAGGGACTTAGGTATTCAGCTAAGGCTTCTTTTCCAAGATACATGGCAGCCTTGCAAATTGTAAAAACTCTCCTGGATTACACCATCAGCCTCAGCTGTCCAGTGGCCTTTTGCTGAGAGCGCTTGGTCTAGATACCATATCAGCACCTCTACTTTCACTACTGGTTTTGAATATTAAAAAGGAAAATTGCTAACTTGACCTTTTAGCAATCACAATTTAAGCCTCTCAAAAGATTTTGATCAGTCTTGTTGTTGGGCCAGTGCTTGGGAATATTTAAGCCCGGCCCTGGAGATGTGCCAGTTGGACTCACATTACCAGGCTACTCATAAATGTCACCAGCTGTCACTTTGCAACCTAGATTGGCAACAGAGCTGTTCATGCTCAGTTTGACCAGTGTACAGTATTGTTTCCTTGATGTTTACATTTTGAGAATTCTCGAGTAGAAATGAGCAATTCCAAAGCAGGCAGTCCTTGATAGACTCTGTGCTTGGTCTGTTCAGACTTTTCAACTGGTGTCTGCTGTGGCCCAGTCACTGTGGAATCCAAGAGGCCAGCAGGTGGAGAAGGCTGTGGTTCCACAGGGCAGGTGGCAGAATAGAAGCCAGCCGTGGCATCTCTGGAATGCCACTGCCATCCTGTCCCCTTAACAAGGGCGTGGAAGCTTTCCACCACAGTCCTCGAGAGACATATTTGTTATAAGTGTAACAATGGGAAATGTAAAGAGAAACACAGTTTCCTGATAAATCTTGGAGTACTGCTAGAGGTTTCATGAGGGATCACAGCTAAAATACTTCGTATGCACTCCATAAATACAGAAGCAGGCAAGATTAACAATAGGGAAGGGGGATTTTGTGAAATATATGAGATCTCAACTAATAGAGTCAGATTTTTTACTTTTGTTTAGAAATATTGGGGAAATTATGTGTAAA